ATAACGATTGTTTAAAAAAAAAAATTGTTCAAACATGCAAGTCCTGAGGATTCCCACCCCTGCCCCAGCGACTTGCATCGGTCTGGTATTTACGTTAGCGCTTTCTTTTGTTACCGCACAGAGTTATCACCGCTAAAGCGGTCTATTCATTTTTGCACAAAACTAAAGACTAAAGAATTAGTAAAAGTCATGGAACACTTAAGTTGTTGTTTATGATATTAAGTAATATAGTCTTGCAAGGTTGTTAGTATTGCGCAAATAACCATGTTTAAATATATTACAGTGTTTTACGATTAAAAACATTGTAGTGAAGTAATAGGTTATTTATTCATTTACGTGGCATACTAAGAGACGTTGCACAGAAGGTTTCCTTAAGCTATTAATAAATAAATCACGAAACAGAACATGCCACTGACGTATTTGCTTCCGTAGCCTGGTCGAAAGAGCGCTTGCTTTGCAATCAGATGGTCCAACCCTTGGGACGTACTGAACTCATAATATACTCATGTAAAGCAAAACTTCTGATGGAAATCTGCACGTGCGGAGTAGTTCTACAATAATCTGTAAAAAGGTATCACGCATAGTCTTCAAAATGTACTGGGTTTTCAGAATGTACCTACTTACGCTAAGCAGAGGCGGGATACTCACGGGGGGTCGGGCGGCGCGGGCCGCGTCCTGCAAACACACTCTTAGTTTGCTGTATTGGGCGCTAAGGGTTGTGCGTATCTTAACATATTTTTTCACGTTCAGCGTTCTACGAAACTAGATGTATGTATATAATATAACGGCATACATAAACAATTTTGTTAAATACTGTAATGAGCTAGCTTTACAGTAGTAAATACTGTAAAGTCCATTTTAAGAAGAATTTCCGTTCGTTTGTAGGAAACAATATTTTAGATAAATTATTTGACTTACTAAGTAAAGAAGAATTTAAGTCATGGCCATGCTCATGTTTTACCCATTCATGATTGTAAGTTTTTTCATTGTTCATCCGATTGCGAATACATTAAAAAGTTAAATTTCAAAATAGAAAACGCAAAATCTAAAATTAAAGTGACACGTAATTGCTTGGCATGTTTGGCAACACAAACTTGTAAATCTTTATTACTATTTATTTATTTATTTATTTATTTATTTATTTATTTTGGCACAGTTACAAGATACAAATTATACAATACACCTAAAACCATAACACTATAACAAAAACAAACAAATTTATATCTCAATAACAACCGCGCACAACATTGAAATAACATTTAAAATTTATATATGGCTATCTAAGTCTTATAAACAATGATATACTTTAAAAGAAAATATTTCACTCTGTGAGGTGTTCGCGTGATACGGCAAAGTCATGGTTCTTTATAATTTTTACGAATGTGTTAGTGCTCTGGTGGAATACATCGAGATCTTTAGATAAGACATTATACTGTCTGCATAGGCGTATAAGAGGACAATTATATGACACATTATTTGTAGTAGAGGGCACCGAAAACAAATGTTGACTTCGGCTAGACCTATTAGTAGCCTTCAGTGAAACATGGCTTAAGATATCAGTATCTAATTTTGAATTTAGTTGAAATCGGTTAAGCCTATCTTTATACGTTACTAATTTTTTTCTTAATCCCATTTTTGAGGCAAGACTACGAACAAAACCACATAAGTGATAATTATTGTTTGTTATTGATTACGTTATGATAACGATCGCAAAAAGTTTTTCAATTTTATGACAACCCTTACATATTCCACGTACGTAGTACCTACCTACACGGAAGGTATTGTAATACTGTAGTTTAAGGATTTTTTTATAGTACCAAGTGACGGGAAGAACAAATCCTACAGCTCGTGGTAAGTGACTCGAATATCCATAAGAGTTGCAGCGCCACTCAGAGTTTTAAATCGTAAAGATCTTAGGGGCACTGCCACCGAGCCCGTCACTCTAGACATAAGTTGACAAGTCCCATGTACTTGTAATTTCACCAGCACCCTTACTCTTCCACCCTTTTCGACAGAAATAGGTAAGGGTGGAGGGCATAATACCAATTTTTAAACTATATTGTCCATAATGTGGATTTTATGAGTACAGTATCGCAAATAAACAACAACACTAATACCTTGTTTCGTCAAAACAGTAATTATATATATTTTGACGACCTCACACACCGGTTTTTTATGGTGTCGCCGTCTCTAAGGTCTCGGGATCGATCCCCGGCCAGGTCAATGTAGATAACTAACTTTTCTATATTGACCCAGGTCTGGGTGTTTGTGGTACCATCATTGTTTCCGATTTCAATAACTCAAGTGCTTTAGTTATTTACTTTGGGATCAGGGTAACGTATGTGATGTTGATCTAATATTTATATACATACATATTTTTTCATGATATCCAGTGGTGGGCGCATTATAGGTACTAAATCTATGGGTGGAACTCGCCTATTCATAATAGTTGCAAATCGCAAAGATCCGAAAATCACTGCCAATGCGCTTATGACCCTGAATCATAAGGTTAACAAATCCCACGTGCCTATAATACCAGCAAAATCGGGACGCAGTAATGGTCATATTAGATCGCAGACATAGGTATGGTGATAGTATTTACTTGGAAAAACTTTGTCAGAAAGAGCTCCACTGCGATTACATATAAAATACTGAATCTCAGAGCAAATCCTTCCATGTTGACTCGACCAAGATATCGCTCACAACCCTCTCGAGATTAATATTCGTTCACCGTCCCTCCTCAGATAATTGGATGGAATAATTAACTATTAACGTCTATTGACTGAAGACGATTGTGTTTGTTCAGGTCCCGGTTAAGACTAATTGTGTTCTTCGAGTTATCATAATAGGGAAGTCTATTTCGTCGGCTTTGAGAAAATTAAGGCAGTTCTCGATAGAGTAGTGGGCTATTTACGTTTACGTGTGTGAATGAAAGAAAAAAGCAGGCGGTCCAGTCGGTCGAGTCCTCATTGTACTCGCTACAAATAAGTTTTATCCAAAATAAGGAACGACTTGCCTAGTGCTGCAAGAGGAGCAACGTTTCAATCGTATTAGACTTTCAAACGAAATGTTCACAATGGCTTTTTTATCATTCGCGAAACATGTCGCGGAAACCACACTTCGATCCATAGGAGATTTAAAGAGTCACTCAGACCTTTAATTAAAAAATAACTGAGGGACTTTGCCATCGCGCCCTTTACCCTGAAACATAAATTAACAAGTTCCATATGCCTGTAATGTCACCCTTACCCTTCAAAACTGCAACGCAGTAAAGCTCATATTACTGTTTGGAGGTAAAAATAGGTAAGGTGGCAGTACTGCTACTAAATAGCTCCTTAACAAGAAATCCCGGGATGTCAAGACTTTTTCTTTTAGTTTAGTCTGGTCAAGTCTTTGACACGGAGTCTCATGATCAGCTAAACAGAAGACCGTGAAATAATCGTTTGTCAGGGGTCCATAGTCCATCAGCCAACCAGCCAAACATAACAACCAGGCATAAAAAAAGGTGTAAGTGTACTTTTTATAGAATCGTTATAAATTAATGTAATATTGTTATTTGTTGTTTACAAACTGGCCTCTCCTGTCTACCTGATGAAAAGTGGTTACACCTGTCTATAGACATTTAAGGTACTAAAGAAGTTTTAGTGTTATCATCAATGTGTATCCGACTGTGAGATGAGTTTCAGATATTAAATTTCTTTGTGATTTTCTTCCAGTTGCTAATTTTATTTGATTTTTTGTGTGTCAGGTGTGACAGACACAATATTTTAAAATAAAAAATAAATAAAAAAATCAAAATTTTAAATCACATATCAATGTAAAATACAGACATAATTTTGCATTCCAATATTGTAAACAACATTGACCATTTTCACAAAAAAAAACTCATTTCAGAAGATTTATATCAAAATAAAACAAAAACACATTTTTTCGACTATATTTCACCTACTACATGATTGAGTTGCTGCCCATCGTTTCGTCACAAATACGATGAATAATATTCAATTTTGTCTGGCTCAGTAATATATTCTATCAAATATATTTTTGTATTTAAGTGGACATATTCGCTACAACACATCTGTTTCTATTCAAGACATTTTCTTTTAACCGCTCAAGCGATGCGCTCATCCTACTGCAAAATGGCGGCTATTTGGTTTCGCAAATTAGAAAAGGATTCAGTATAAATACAAGTTTTTAAAAATAAAAATTATTATTCTGCATTGCTAAATAAATACCCTCCGTACTACAACAAAAACATCTCAAATAAAATGCAGTAATACACCGCAAATCCTGCACTTAAAAAGCACTAATGAAATTTTTGGTGTACTTGGGTAAATATGATAATATTCCGTTTGAGTGGTTCTAATATTTACCATGAAATTACTCCTTAAAGTATAGTTTATAAACATTTATATTCAGGGTAAACTTAAAAAACGCTACTTACGGTATGTTTTCAATAAATAAACACCGACATCACCAGCCCAAACAATAACACACACGATTGTCGTGACGTATTTTTGAAGTTGTTTATTTTTTTAAATCACAGACCCAGGTATTAAAAACTTTACGGTTTGCTAGAGTAGTTACCGAAATAGCAATTAGTATTAGTTCTTTTACCTGTTATAACTTCGATATCCGATACATCGGTCTAAAATCATCACCGATATCTCTAGGTGTGGTATGCTTCCGGAGCACTCCATTCTTATGTCGTTGATATTCCACCTATTCGCGCTAAGCGCTTTGCCTCCTCCTTTCTGATGCGTACGGCAAAGGAATGGAATGCTCTACCGGCTCTGTATTTCCCGAAAAGTACAATTTGGGGCTATTCAAGGCTAGAGTGAATAGGCATTTTTAGGCAAACGCGTCCCATCGTCGGTCACATCGTCGCTTAACATCAGGTGAGATTGTGGCCAAGCGTATGTCTAATATATAATAAAAAAAAATGCTTCCAGAGACGCATGAATCGCGTGAGCGGTTATACCGAGTACTAGAGAGAACTGCTTTTTATTTTAAACTGAGAAGGTGATTAATTTAGTTTCTCACTATAATTTTCTATATAAATATTATACAACAATGTAACGTTAAAACATCAACTTTAATATCAACTCAATCTTATTTTCTATGACTACCTACAATAATACTAAGGTTCCTAAAAATCTTTTATATTTGGTCATTGTTCACTCTAATCAAAACAGACTGTTCAGTTACGAGTATCTACATGTCCTTGTTTCTTTCATTGACCAATCAAATACTAGCAATACAATAGGCAATTTCAGTCACCTACTACCTATCAGAGTCTTACGTTGGTGGCGGAGGTCTCCTATTATTAACCGCATAGGCATAATCGTAATCATCTGACCTCGACATATTTGGTGGTCTTTGTGGGAGTGGCGGAGGTTTTACAGATTGCATCTCCATTTTTCTGTTTGCTGCTGCCATGGCTTTCGCTTCGTAGAAGGTCACTACGCTGATTGGAACGTACGAGTATATTGGATCTTCTGGTGTTTCATATACCTGTAAATAAGTTGAAATTAAAGTAGAAGTCTTTGCCGCTTCCAATGTATTTTCATAAGCGTGTAAAGTTGTGTAGAATAATGATCGATAAAAGTGGTGAATAGAAAAGCAAAAAAAAAATAGTAAATTGTAATTTGATATAATTTAGGGCTGCGTTTTTACAGAAGACGTGATTTAAAAATCTTACCCCGCTACTAGAATTCTGAGTTGGCGGTTCTGGAGTCCTATTATTTGTATCCGCTCTTTGTGTACGACATCGTATCATTAATACTACTAGAACAATTATTATCACTAGTAGCGTTACTCCGCCTACTGCACCTCCTATTATCCAATTTTGTAAATTGTCTGTAACAAAAAAAAATAAACATTCAGTATTATTTTCACGTCATTATTTCTTATCTAACACGTAAGAAATTTTTATTTTTGACACCATTGTTCTTGATTTTTTTAAAGTTAAAATAATCTTTACTTCCAATCACTAAATCCGTCTTCTACCTAACAGCAGCTTTGTCGTACTTATCATCAGGTACAAGTACATGTCATACTTGTCTTCTTCATTTGCCATTTGATTCAGCTTGGACGTTTATAAAATTATACTAAATTTTACTACCAGCGAAGGAATAATTAGAAAGGTTATTTGGAAGAAATCGCTTTATGGGATAAGCTCGCCTTTGTACAGTAATGTTTTGAATTCTTTGTTAAAATTTGTGATTAGTTTAGTTATGTAATAAAGTGTCCACTTAAAAATGTAAGTATACTTATATACATAATTTAGGTCCAATTAATAAACTACTTTTTAACCGACTTCAAAAAAGGAGGAGGTTCTCAATTCGACTGTATGTTCTTTTTTTTTGTATGTATGTTACGCGACAACTCCGGTATTTGTAAATCGATTTTAATGATTCTTTTTTTGTTGGAAAGGGGGTACTTCCATAGTGGTCTCATTTCATTTTCAAGAAAATCATCCACTTCGAAGGGTGGCTGTTCACGCATGAAGATTCATTTTTATAAATAGCGCCAAACTTTAATTTAGGAGCGATTACTTTAATGGTTGATTTTGCTATTTCTCCAATTCCAGGAGTTTTTCTCTCAATATACTTTGAGTAGTATCGTAGTGAGAACCTATTTTTATTATCTCCGGTGTCAAGTCCTGTATAGTGGCGAACTAGGGGATATTTCAATAAAACTTAGCAAATAGATGTAATTCCACGTACTTTTGAGGTCGGTTTTTTTAGTACTCTGTACTGAGATTATAAATAAATAAATTTCTATTTTGACTAAGATTTGGTTTGAATTTCGTTACATATTAATTTCTAGTAAGTTATAATAGCACGTATCAAGTTACCAAGGAAGTAAGTATCAAGGCTTTCTGATTGTTCACATTGGTTATGAAACTAATATCCGGATCTGAATAGCGTATACTTGTTTTTTAAACAAAACAACGTTTCAGGCCCTTTACTTGACCTTGGGACCTGTCCCAAGGATCCCAAGGTCAAGGCTATGTGTCAGCCGGCAGGCAGTTAGTCAGTAGCTCAGAATCTGGTCTTGTTTGAAAAAATAAATATACACGATTTAAATAAAAAAATTAGTTTCATTTCCAATTATAAAAATACGATTTGATCAAACTTACTATCCGTGTCATTGGTTTCCAAATGTGCAACCGGTTTCTTAATTCTTGTTATTGGTACATACGGTGTTGACATTTTTCCGAAAACTGTGGGAGCCATTATGTTAAACCTAATAGAACAGTAGATTTCGTGGTTTAGATCGTGTCCTGTTATAGTTTTGTTGAATGCTAATGTTGTTGCATTGTACTCGAAGTTTAGTTCGACATCATTTCCACCGTCTTCTGTAAAACCAAAATAAAGAAATCATCTTTAACAATTTATCTAAGAGCATAAATTCATTAGACATTATCCGCTCACGCGATACATGCAGGCGTAGACGCATACCACACCTAGAGGTGCCGGTGATGATTTTATACCGGTTTATCAGATATCGAAGTTATAACAGGTAAAAGAACTAATATTAATTGCTATTTCGGCAACTACTCTAGCAAACCATAAAGTTTTTAATGCCTGGGTCAGTCATTTAAAAAAAAATAACATCAAAATTACGTCACGACGATCGTGTGTGTTATTGTTTGGGCTGGTGATTTCGGTGTTTATTTATTGAAAACATACCGTAAGTAGCGTTTTTTAAGTTTACCCTGAATATAAATGTTTATAAACTTAACTTTAAGGAGGAATTTCATGGTAAACGTTAGAACCACTCAAACGGAATATTATCATATTTATCCAAGTACACCAAAAATTTCATTAGTGCTTTTTAAGTGTATGATTTGCGGTGTATTACTGCCTTTTATTGGAGATGTTCTTGTTGGTAGTACGGAGGGTATTTATTTAGCAATGCAGAATAATAATTTTTATTTATAAAAACTTGTATTTAAACTGAATGCTTTTCTAATTTGCGAAACCAAATAGCCGCCATTTTGCAGTAGGAGGAGCGCATCGCGTGAGCGGTTATCTCGAAACGTTATTTTGTTTTATATTCTTGCCTTTGATGTAAGCTTTGCATGGTACATATATTCAAGATTGTTTTGATACATCCACGCAACGCTTTGTGGGACAGAATGATTCATATTTTACATTGCTGCGTACGCACTAGATGCACCAGTTTCCCATCATTAGTAAACACTACGAGTCATTTTGCGTCAATTTCAACCACAATAAGTTTTCTGGATTATGTATTGTTTTATTAATAAACATAATGTCCAGTAGTTCCTTAGTTTCATGAAGTATCAAATGTAGCAAGTTAATTACGATGTCAATTTTATCCTCATTAAAATTCACTTGTCTTAATTAGAAAAGCAGTCTATTAATGCAGGTTCCTGTTGTAAAATTTTTGAAAATATGATATGTTTGGTTACTCTACAGTTTTTGGATCCAGCTCAGACATAACATGTTCATGGTTTTTCTGACTATTTATACCACCTACTATTATGCATATTCAGACCCGTCGTCTAATAAATAGTATCTATTTCGTCACTTAGCAAACTTTGCTCAAGTTGAAAATGGGTGGTTTTTCTTTTGAACTTTACTCAAGTCAAAATAAAGTGGGAAATAAAAATGGTGTAACCAACACTAAACCTTATTTGTTATCTATAAATAGATACTTGTTACTAATAATTACTTAAAACATCTTGTGTACAATAATACATTCAGGTTTTTCACTTTCCTTTAAAATGACTTCAAAAGATTCAAGCGATGTAGTTTGAATTGCTAATTAGTGTTCATTACATGTTCTTGTAATATTTATTGCTTAGAACAAAGAAGTTTTTGAGGAAATAACATTTAATTAAATGCTTAGTTTCCTTGACCGTGATCGTAAGTTCACGGTCGTGAGTCTATAACGTGATAATAACACATGAACAAAATATAAATTTCACAGCGCTTTGAACTAACCTGTATTTCAAAGCGCTGTAAAATTTATACAATTCTCTATTTTATCCTGTACTGTATACGTATATTAATAGTTATGCAAATTATATACATAATAATTTATGTACATTAATAATTATGCGCAAATTACGTTTTATACACATAATTCTTTGTCCAATTTGAAAATTGCGATAGAATTGCATGATTTAATTCCGCCTTTTCATTATCGGGTGACTGGACGTGGGCTAGGGTCCCACCTCTATGTTGTGGATATTCCAAGGATTTGCATGAAGCACTTCGATTCCACATTTATATGGCGAACTGCTAAGAAGTGGAATTCCCTGCCTGCAGATTTATTCCCTGAACTCTTATCTATAACTTGGGCCTTTTTAGGGCGAGACTAAACAGGCATTATTCAGGCGTGCATGCTATATCGTTGACCTCATCGTCACTTTCCACCAGGTGAGATGGAGGTCAAAAATGCACCGTGTTTTTAAACTGTTAACGATTTTTTTTTATGTTATCAGGTGATGGAACAAAGAAGTCGTGCGTGATAGTACCTATAACAGTTTCAGTGCCACTCAAAGTTTTAAATCGCAAAGATTTGACGAACACTGCCACTGCGCCCGTCACCAATAGATATAAAGTTAACATGTTCCATTTTTCTCCAGCAATACTCGCACCATTGTTTAGTGCTAGTTCTGCTACGGCTTTTCGCTACAAATTTTTTCTTTGGGCAATTCATGTCGTCAATTTTTACATTAAATATATTTAGTTTTAGAACAATAAGGGATAAAATATTTATTTAATTAATTAGAAAACATGCTATCAATACTCTCTCACGATCTTGCGGGAAGCTCATTTATTTTTTTTTCTAAAATAGAGGGTAACAAAAATCCATTGTTGAGTCATCTTAGATAATTATCCACAATGTTAAAAAGTTTTTTTTTGAGATACCAAGCGGCGGAACGTATAAGTTGTGCGTCTGGTGGTAAGCGACACGTCTATCGATAACAGTTGCAGTGCCATTCAGAGCTTTAAATCGCAAAGATCTTAGGGTCACTGCCACTGTGCCCGTCACCCTGAGACATAAGTTGACAAGTCCCGTGTGCCTGTAATTTCACCAGCACCCTTACCCTTCTAACCGGAACACAGTTCACATTACAACTTGATGTCAGAAATAGGTAATCGGATTTTAACCCGGCGCTTTGCTTACCTCCATTAGTTCCTTGTGAAAGAATTTGTCCAAGAAAGTACTGCAGTTATGCATGCAAGTACATTACTACGTTCCGGTTTTGAAGAATATGGGTGCTGGTGAAATTACAGGCACACGGGAATGTCAATATATGTTTCAAGGTGACGAGTGTAGTGGTAGTGGTCATAAGATCTTTGTGATTTAAAGTACTGAGTGGTACTGCAACTGTTACGCACAGGCGTGTCGCTTATGCGCTGTCACTTAGCATCATACAAAAAAAAACTCAAAATGGCCGTTTATTTCAAAACAAACCTATTATCATAAATCGTAAAAACCTAAAGTTGAACTGATATTCAATAAATACGTCAGAAACCACTGTAAAAACTATGCCACTAGGAAAACAAGAGACAATTTTTAATAGAAAAACAACATCTACGAGAATCATTGCGTCAAATGCTTTATTATTTTATTTTCTTAACTAATAGCTTATTACATCCGTCATTACCAATAAGGTAAATGAAGCACATTAACTGTTAACCTTATGCGTACCGTCCGATGTTGTAAATTTTTTATCATCATATTTAACTTCCTTTGCTCTGTATACCCTACTAGTAAATTGAACTATACTACGTTACATATGGCACTTGAAGGCAAATACGTATACTCATAAACACGCAAACTCACAATCACGTACGCACTCGAACATACACACACACACACACACACACACACACACACACAATACACATATTTTGAGCAAATTCTTTGTAATAATTAAATTTCACCAAATATCTAAATTCTTCCATCTATATCTACAGTTTTTAATTTCACGTAATATTTAAATTAATGTTAAATATAATAATAAATCTGATTTTCTAGTTGTGGAAGAGCGGAGCCCTCTGATGCAGGTTTATTTTACTGACTAGAAAACATCAACTTCATTATTGTAACATGATTTTTTAAATGTAAATAAAGTTATTACTATTATTAGTTATTACTACATTAAATTTAAATGTTCACATTTGTGGACTGACTAGAAACGCTAAAAATTCAGCTTCGAATTTTCCGTATCTCAGGCTAAGCATATAATAATACTATTTGCTTTTTCTACAACATAGCATAGATGACCTCTGTGATCGCGTGCCTTGCTCACCGGTTTTCATTTGTCGCCATCTCTGAGATCCTGAGTTCGATCCCCGGCCAGGTCAATGTAGAAAAAAAAACATTTCTATACTGTCTCGGGTCTGGGTGTTTTGGTACCGTCGTTGTTTTAGATTTTAGATTTCCATATCTCAAGTGCTTTATTTAGTTACTTTGGGACCAGAGCGATGAATCACTTAGTTTTTACTATAAATATTAGTTCTTACCTCTTTCATACCAGGACACCACATAAGGTAACAATTTCGGTAAATTCGATCCACTAACTTCACACCTGAGGTTAGGTATCTCTCCTTCGGTTGCTATGATCTCCGTACTATCTGGTAATATTGTTAATAATATAGGGCCTGAAAAAGATTCATTATTATAAATTGTCACTTATACGAAGTGGGAAGAATCACCATTGATCACTGCCGTGACGTGTCCTGCTTAAGGCGAGTTATCGGAGGAGAAGCGAGAAAAAGTGTTGCGTTGGGTCAAATGATTTCGGTATTTACTATTTAATAACGGTCTTATAAAAAATATACGATACTCCTTAGGATGTTGTCTAAAGACTGTGCTAATGTGTTACACGTTAAATGCATTGGTCTTTGCTTTTAGACTACTACCACTGGCCTTAAATAAGTTCTACCATCTAATAAAAAGAGCGTAATCTCCACTATGTAAATTCTGAACAACAACAAAAAATAAATTTGAAGATATGCCACATTTAATGGAATGTAGTCATTACGTGGCTCTAAGAAGCCAATTTCAATTAGGGGATATTTGGCAGGTTGGGGAGTTAAATGTCGTGTTGAGTGAACCGGCGGCGAAGAGGGCTAAAACTCTAAACTCATATCTGAGGTCTTATCTCTCACTACGAGGCGACACGGTATAGTAGAATAATAATATAGGTAATGCACAGGGATTGACATCACACAGCCGACATTGACACTCAAGTGTTACAGGCCTTATTAAAAATAAGATAAAAAAAATAGAATATACTTTATCCGATCATATAAAATCCTGAAAACAATCTAAAACGAATTATTTAAAAATGACACATTTAACTTTGCACTTAATTTTTATATGGAAATATTTCTCTTTAAGTACTACAGACAACCTGGAAACCTTGGTTTTCAAATGAAGCCCTATTACTTATTAAATACACATTTATACCAAAGTTTTAAAATTTCCCAGCGGTTTAACGACACGCTGCGCCATCGGGCGCTTATCGACGTCGGATTTGTGTAAAATTTTCTCCGCCTGTTCTTATTTCATTCATATAAATTTACAAAGCGCGGATTGCGTTATGCGAGAGGCGACCCCCCGCATCCCACCTCCTAAAATCTAGGCTCGCGTTGAAATACGCCACCTTAAGGAGGGTTTAAAAGAATAATCAAGTAGGTAAGCTGACCAATCTTCCCTTCGTTTCTTAACTAACGCATTTACATTTTAGTAACTTTATAATAAGTTTTTGTTTCTTTGGAAGATGTCAATTAGAAAAGACTGTCTTAGGCCACAAAGACGGCATTTTGGCGCTGGTTGAGGGTCCTGAGTTCGATTCCCGGTATACCACTCTAGAAAATGAACTTTTATAAATAGTTTCTGGGTTATAAAAGACTTAACGATGATTTGAAACACCGCCATGGACAATAAATATTTATTACTGGTGCGACTATAATTTCTGTACTCCAAACTTAGCTAATTTTTTGTTCATTAACTAGCAAACGAAAAATGCCTAATATTATTATATATATACAATAATGCTTTATATTATATATAAAGCATTTTGTCACGATTTCCGAGGTGAGACAAATGACACACATGCAAGTGAGATAAATGACACGACCGTTACGTACAAAGCGAAAATGGCGAACTGAATATAAGTACCTACTGGAACTGCGCGTACTGTTGGCACACTTACCTCACCCTCTAAACACTTCTACAATAGTTATTGTTCTGTGACAAAATCTTTAATCTTTTATCTTGAAAAGTTGTCATTAGTTATATTACTCCAAGTGTGATTTTTAAATAGTCTTATTTCTATATACTTATTTTCTATATACTTATTTTCTTTGTTATGTTATTAACGCGTGTAAAAATAAATAGCTTGAATATTTGAAGCAGACTAGCCATGCATCTATTGTTATTACCGCGGTAATTTCAAATCGCACTTAATTTTAACACTGTCCATTATAACAATAAAAAGCAATAGTTATAATAGATGATACTTACTAGGTTTCCGATATTTTTCTGTTGTTGTAGTTTCTGTAGTCGATGGCTTGGTAAGAGGAGTAGTAGTAACAGGGTTTAGGGTTGTCGTGACGTTCGCCTTTTTTATTGTCGTTAAATAAGGCTCGTCGGAAGATAAGCTAGTGGTTTTTGTGACTGGTGGAGATACTGAAGTTAGTTCCGTTGAAGTTTTGGTCTCGTGAATTGGATCAGTATGAACTTCATAATTTGTCGCATTACCCATTAAATTAGTAGTCGAACGAATACGTCTAGGCTTTATACTTTTTCTAGTAGTGCGTGTTGTAGTTGCTGAAAATTTATATTAAGATAAAATTACGATAGTCGTGTACCAGCAGGTCGATTCAGAATCTTACGATAATTAGTTGTCGTACGGTTTGTCTTCATTTTTATTCACAACAACCGAATCGAACGTCAAACTGTCGTATTCGAAACCGAACCAAAATGACGTCACATTCGTGCGGTTACACGAACTTCTCGACCGGCAAAGACTACAAACGTTATTCAGAACACAGGTATCGAATGAAAGTTACCGAACATCCATTGACTTACAAATAAATGGACGACGGACCTAATACAAAAACCACGAAAAAAATGTCCCAAGTCAACCTATTTAAACGTAGTGACATGTAAAGGAATATGAAAAAGCTAAAACGTTGAATTTAAATTGTAATGTCATCGCAGTACTGTCTAATTTTGCTTGGTTCGCTGTCAGTCGAACAAACAAAGACTAAAGCGTGAATGACGCTCTGTATACGATTTTAACGCCCTATAAGTTCGGACACTTTTTAGCGCGGACCCGACGTCCATATAATTGTAAGTCAATGCGAACATCCCATTGTTTACAAATCAAGAATGTAATATGGAAATCTCTTATTATTTTAAATAAAGTCTTTGTTCAATTGCATTAATTTATATTAATGCAAGACTAACGCATTCCTATATTTTAGGACTTTTAAGTCTTAAAAATGAATATAAACATATTTTCATTTTTCTTATAATCTATTTCACCGACTAACTCCGTAAATGCTATTGGATGACGATATTGTATCTCGGCTCGGAAAGCACCCTTCGTTTCGAGAACGATGTCCAATCGAACGATTCGGTTAAAATATCGAATAATTCTGAATCAGGGTACCGGCCCGTCCTATTTTTGCTGTGCGTTGATCTATGCACCGTGATGGGTGCGTCTGCGTTACCACAGATAAGATTCTTCTTGTGACCATCGGTAAAATCACCATCAGCATCACCATCTTTGACTATTAATGCATTTTAACTGTCCTAGTTAACCTCAAACTCAAATAACCTTTATTTTAAATTTAAGCAAACTACAGTATAATCAAAACCGTCACATTGATCAAACTTTCTGTTCATTCGGAAGGCAAATTCCCGTGAAAAATAATAAATACGAAACACTAGAGATTGATCTTTCCGCAAGAGCTAAACGGGTCAATCAATCCATGGTGGATTTCTGTCATTCACGTACGCAAAACCTTTAGTGTAAGGTTTTTGTTTTACTATAGTTTTAAACCTCGTAAATAAAAAAAACTGCAATTCAACCGGAACTTTGTTACATATATATAATATATATATATATATATATATATATCCCTATAAATGTATTTGTGACTTTGTGAAGAGGATTGACCAGAACAATCAGTTTATTTTTGTACCTCGTATTGATGTTATGTTTATCAGTATTTTATATACATCATCCCTTTAGACTCTTCTCTTATACTTTCAAATGAATTACTAAATTTTATAATTTTTTTTTTGTAAAATGTTTACCTACGGAAGTTACATTGTTAAGAATACTTACGTTTGTATGCTTGATAAGAATAACCCGAATACGATTCTTCTATATAATTAAGACGATATGTACCAGTAACAAATTCATTATTACGTTCGTTTGAGTCTTCTTTATACATATGTCTAATAGTATCACAGATTTTTCTATATTGTTCACTGAATGATATGGCATTATAACAGTTATACGATTCCAACAACCTTCTTCGAACTTCAGAAGTATCAAACTTTAAAACTTGAGTGGTTGTTGTAGGGTGTGATTTGAAAACAGGTTTTAATTCTAACTCCGGGGTGGCTGCAGCGATTTTGGCATAATCTGCAACAAGAAATAACGTTTATTAGATTATTAGAATTTGTAACCAATCACAGCCAGTGGCTTGGACAGGAATAGCAGAGCAGAGTCTTAACAGGGCATTGTAGCTTGAACAAGCACATGTCAAATAATGGGCAGAGAGATAATAGAGAGTGTAGATTCCGGATGCGGATGAATGCATCTCCTCACCGAATGCTGCCCCCTGACGAGCGTACGAAGTTCCATACTGGGAAGGCACAGACCATAACCAGAGGTCAAAAAAAAAGTCGGAGCCAAGAAAGTTCTTCAGTACTTTTATGCTGTCAGCCTTGGCTTTGAACTGTAATGAGTGGTGGTCACAATAGATTTGGAGGCCACCCTTTTATTCGCTCACGCGATGCGCTCCTCCTACCGCAAAATGGCGGCTATTTGGTTTCGCAAATCAGAAAAGCATTCAGTTTAAATACAAGTTTTTATAAATAAAAATTACTATTCTGCATTGCTAAATAAATACCCTCCGTACTACCAACAAAAACATCTCAAATAAAATGCAGTAATACACTGCAAATCCTGCACTTAAAAATTTTTGGTGTACCTACTTGGATAAATATGATAATATTCCGTTTGAGTGGTTCTAACGTTTACCATGAAATTACTCCTTAAAGTATAGTTTATAAACATTTATATTCAGGGTAAACTTAAAAAACGCTACTTACGGTATGTTTTCAATAAATAAACACCGAAATCACCAGCCCAAACAAAAACACACACGATTGTCGTGACGTATTTTTGAAGTTGTTTATTTTTTTTAAATGACAAACCCAGGCATTAAAAACTTTATGGTTTGCTAGAGTAGTTACCGAAATAGCAATTAATATTAGTTCTTTTACCTGTTATAACTTCGATATCCGATAAATCGGTATAAAATCATCACCGGCACCTCTAGGTGTGGTATGCGTCTACGGCTATTATCCGCTCACGCGATACGCATGTATAGATAATAGCCAGTCAATGACATCGAAGGATCTTTATATTAATAATTATAGCAAACTAGTGGAGTAATTTCACAAAAATAATTGAATACAAATAATAATAGCGAGATTCTAGCCAGGGCTGGTAGCCGTAAAGTTACCTAACTGGGTGACGAAATACTTTCATGGATTTCTAATAGATGGCGCTACAGATAAAAAGTCGTTTAAAACCAAATACCAAGAGCCGACAAACAAGCACAGAAAAATTCGTTAGGTCCGCTGGTTCGTTCCGTGGTTAGCTTGGCATAGCGTTTGGCACGGTTTGCTAGAAGACGTCGGTTCGAATCCGGCCGGATCGAAGCATTTCTTTCTAAGTGTTCGTAAATCTTTGTATTAATAATTATAACAGTCAATGGCAGTCAAAATTAAATACTGGTCACGTTGCTGCTTATCTCCGAGATTTATGCTTTAGTCATTCTACGACATCAGCGGAAATGTTGTGTGGCTATCCTTGTGGTAGGTAGTCGTTTTAATGGTGATATTTAAAACCAGTTGTGAAGTGAAGTAAAAGTTGTTGTTACTACCTACTAGTAGCAGTAGAGGTAACGGAAGTACTGGCATATACCTATTCCTTTTGCCAAGCAGTAAGCGTTACCGGTTTTGAAGTCAACTTATGTCTCAAAGTGATGGATGCAGTGCAGTCCCCTTCAGATTTTAGTGATGCAAAGCTCTGAACAGCAGTACAACTGTTACGGACAGGCATGTCGCTTACCACCAGGCGCACGACGAGACTAACAGTCTCGACAGACTTAGCGTCTTAACAACAGATACAGGAGACGTAAGATTTTGTGATCTTATGATGCTAATAGATGATAAAAAATTATACAGAAAATGTCTACAGATGACTGTAATCACTTACAGGTAGACTATTTGTTTGATGATTTTCATGCAATAAAATAAAATATTTCTATCGAAATCTTCACAGCACCATTGTGTTTCCTTTAGGAAAAAGAAATGTGTCTACAACACCGGCCTGTAATTTTTTTTATTATTATTATTATTATTATTATACATGACAGGCAAATGACTCCACTCCACCTGATGTTAAGTGGAAAGTGGTATCCAAACGCGAAGGAACCTAGTGCAGCGATGAAATCCTCACTGCACTAGCCACCTCCACCCTGCCTGCCTACAATATGCCTCTTCACGCCTCGTTTGAAGGATCCCATATCAATGATTTGGGTGCATTGATAGTTCTGTTATATATCTGTTATGTTAAATTTTTCCAACATGTAGAATACTTTCACACATTTACGTACAAATATTATAAATGTAGTTACAATATTAATGCCATTTGTGACGTTTATGAATATTATACAATTATTGTAGTTTATACTGGCACTAGAACGGTTGTTATACAGTAGACGAACGCGAACGGTTTCTTCTCAACTAGTGTTACATACAATGTTACTGTTTAATAGCAAATATAGCTCTTGCAATACCACTCGCGAACGGTGAAGATAAACATTTTGTTGAAACCTTTAGGAGCAATAGCTGTAGAGCTCTTTGTGAAAGCGTTCGTCCAGGGAATCACTGCCACCTTAACTATTTCTACCGCCAAGCGCATTACTGCATTCCGGTTTTAAGGGTAAGCGTGCAGGTGAAATTACAGGTACAGTGGCAGTAGCCCTCAGATCTTTGCAATTTAAAGCTCTAAGTGGCATTGCAACTGTCATTGATACGCATGTCGCTTACTATCAGGCGTACAACTTGTTCGTCCCTTTATTTGTTATCGTAAAAAAATTCACAACCCTTTGAAAACGTGAGACGTCCCCAAACCGCAGTAAGTCAGCGAACTATGGCGGAAAGTTTTTCCTCAGACTTGTACCCAACAGTGGTGATGATAATATTTTTTTTTCTTACACGTTATTTATTTAGGGACTTTGGTCGTTATTGAATACGTCAGCCTCATTAGTAAAACAGTACATCGAGAAAACACATCTTTATTGAAACCACCCAACATTAAATGTACGGAAACCAGGCTGTGCCAACTGTGCCCTGATAGGTTCCGTCCGACCACACTCCATGAGCAAATGATATACATCCTCACGAATCCCACACATTGCGCAATTCAGTGAGTTCACCCTCCGCAACAAATACAAAAATTTGTTTAAAGAAATTCGACCACTACTTAACATTATCAAATCAAGGAATATGAGGAGGCTCACTCTGCATGGTCTAGTACCAGATACCTCTTTCCTGGGACCTCATATCGAAATATTCCTTCTAATGAGAATGGAACTTGCTTTTATAGTTTGCAACCACTTCAGAGAAGTCAGGCACCATGTCAACCTTAGGCCCCTCTAAAGCAGCCGAAATGGCTAACCGGTCTGCTTCCTCATTCCCTAACAAGCCACCATGTGACGGCATGTAAATAATAATAATCCCAATAGTAATTCCAGTAAGACTCGTTATTTGATTTTTATTTCGGGACTTAATCACGTATAAAACATATTTTAATTACCTCGACGTTTCGGACGTGTTGTAACATCCATGGTCTCGAAGGGACAGTCGAGGTAATTAAAATATATTATATACGTGATTAAGTCCCGAATTATAAATCAAATAATGAGTGAAAATTGTCAAAGTTTAAATCCAGTCAGCCTCGCCAACAATTGAGGTTGTCAGATTTTGTTACCTGTCGCTTCCAACACAAATGCAGAAAGCGATTCTGCTGATACAGCACGTATTATTTGCCGATTCTTGAACCTGTACCTTCAATTGCTTTGCAGATGTGTGCAGGCTTCGTAACAATGTTTTCCTTAATCGAAAAGCTCATGGCAAATTAAATGTTGCAAACAAATTCCGAAAAAACTCAGAGGTGCAAGCTCTAATTCTAACCCACGACCTTCTGCTTGAGAGAAGGTCGTTCAAACCATTAGGCAAACACGAATGATGATACAGGCTTTATAAAGCCTGGCATACCACTAAATTCTCACCTTACGGAAAGCTTTTACTTCTTATTGCGCTATAAACATGCTAATAATGCTAGAGATTAAGTACTTACGATAAATTTCACATGAAACTAAACACCAAATCCAAATTGATATGACAAACATTTTCACAGTGTTAAACTACACAAGGTCTCGCACAGAATGGCCTATAAGAGCCAATTAATGTCATGCATAAATCACAGTTTCCTTACTGACGCTCTCTTCGGGATTACCGGACAAGTAAACAAGGTAAATAGTTATTGTGTGTTGATTTCTGACAATAGCTTTAAACATAGAAATATATCAGTATTCGGTTTCATAAACTACACTATGAAAAAGTTTCTAACAAACTATAAAATACGAAATAATATCGTACCCTTGGTATATTACATTTAAAAAATTAAAAAGTGGAAATTTTTCAGAAAGTTTAAAAATTATGCGAACGAATTTAAATTTTTTTGCTTAACTGTTAACTGTAGTCACGGAAAATATATGCTTCCGTAGTCGCGAGTCCAATGGACCCATGCATTTTGAAACGGTGATAAAATAGAGCGTATGATATACGAGTATTTATAATATTTTTTTTATTCAAACTGTTACTTTCACTTTAACAAATATCTATTTATATCAGTCGTAATTTTCTTATTATAAAATCAAGTCTACTGAAAATAATAAGAAAAATTAAATAAATGCCAAAATCCAAAAACAAAATTTTTTCTTACTTTTGAAAATATATTGTTTAAAAAAATTAAAATTATCTCGTTAAAAACTGACACTAAAGCAATTTAACCTAATTCTATTCTTCTTCTTCTTCCTACCCCTAACCTAATTATAATCACGAATTGCTATTCTATATTATAATGATTGCTATCACTTTTTACAAAAGTCATGTAAATAGGCACGTCATGTAAAGTTCACATTAGGTTAAGATCATTTCAAGTTTATTTTCATTAGGATTTTATTACATTTTATATCAGATATTTCAGAATGTTTCATGACCACTCGTTCTGACAAAATCCTCTCTGTTCTGAGAAAACTCTTCTATCAGAATTTGAAGTTACAGTACGCAGTACTACAGTACTACAGTAGTATCAGATATAGAATTTTCGCCGATTTCTCCCTCATCGCTGTCTAAATCAGCTTTCAACCATTGCTCTAATATGTCTTCTTGAATTACTAAGACACTTTTTCGATTCGCCATGATAAGAAACTGAAATAAAAACAAAAATAGATTAAATGTGTCACACAAAAATATTGCGTATCTATAGTCGTGGGTCCACTGGGCCCACATGTAAACCATTACTTACATTTGGAGCAGCGAACAAAACACATCCATTTCACAGTGCGCGCTTCGACGTGCCATTGGAAGGTACTGAGTTATGGGAAGAGCTACATCGCCTGCAGCGATTCCTACGTGAGTTTAAAGAATGAACTTGGGTCCATTGTACTCACGACTATAGTTAAGGGTTAAGTCAATGAATTTTCCTTTGAGGGATAGCGGTAACTTTCTGTTCATGAGGTCTTTCATAAATTGATAATAAATAATTCATTTCTAAGTAATAGAATCTTTCTTAGCATTGCAAAGCAAATTAATTTTAGTTGTTAATGATTAAATCATTTTCAAACTTATATGTAGGTTATTTTTTAAGTTTATTTATTCATCTATCAAGTAAGAGCGATTGTCTACAAGTAGGAGATCTTGGTTCTTAATTGAAAGTTCACTGGCTCGAGTCCTTGAAGTGGTATGTACAGTCGATACCTTAAGATACATACCCGCAACCGACCTGTTAATTTTGAGTGTTTTTTTACATATTCAACGGAAAAGTGTAAAGGAATCCCATGTTTTTGGTTAAATAAAGATCAAATTGGCTTAAAAGTTTCTAGAAACGTCATTCACTAAAAATGCAATAGGGAAGTCCAAAAGTAATTTTACCACTCACTGGTTAAGGGTTAAATTTGTTTAACACTTTTCTTCACATTTATTTACTTACTTTACCAAATGGTCGGTGAGGGTCAGCCATGGTAGTGCATCAACTGTACCTACGACTTCAATTTCTAAGTTACGTACATCCATAAAATGATGAACAGCAATATGCTTGTATATACTGGTATTTGCTGCGTTTACACTACCTATAATTGTAATAACCTGTAATTTCACCAGCACCGTTACCCTTCAAAACCGGAACACGGTAATGCTAACATTACTGTGTTCCGGTAAAAATAGGTAAGGTGGCAGTACCCTGGATGAACTCTTTTACAAGGAGCTCTACTGCTACTACTTTCCACTCACTGCTGCTATTCATAAATTCTGGACGATTTTCAAGAATTATACACTTAAAACTTTCTCGCCCATTCTTAAAACAAAAAGGGGATTGCTGGGGTTGCCTCGATACTGCAGCGCCTCGGGGATGTTAGGATTGATGGTTTTCAAGGCAGTCGTTCACAAAAGTTGGTCAGAGTGAGAGGCACCAAGCACTTATAACTTTCACCAACGGTCTTCTTAAGTTGGTAACTAAGAGGATGGATAACTCAATCCCTAAGTATCGAATATCCATCTTTGTTCATGAGAATGAACACTTTTCATTCTACTAACACAGTTGTAAGCACCTACTTACACTATATGGACTTGTAACTGTACTATGTTAAATAATATTTTTTTTAAATACTATTTTTAAAATGACCATAAACATGAAATGAAAAAAACAATGAGAAAATGAAAAAAGTACTTTTCTATTTAAAGTTACCTTGTGGCAACAACTACAAGAACTTTTTGACCAACACGTTAACATTAAAGAGCTTTTTTAAATAACACTTTCACTTTCTAAGACAGGACTAAATGAAACTCAAATACAAGTAAATTAATAAGTTTATTTTATTAAATACGATGTTAAAAATTGCGATTCTTTTTAAAAGGGATGGTCTTTCTTTTCTTCTTCTAATCATAACAATTAGCTCATTGTGTGTCCCACTGCCAGGCATCGGCCTTCTCTAAGGAAGGGGTTCAAATCAATGCGGGGCTCGGACTTATTCTGTCTAGTCCTTGGCTAGACTGTATATAGCACATTTTTTATAACGCAACGGCGCAAGCCGCCTTGAATTTCTCGCCGAGCACTTAACGTTGTGAATTTGATAGTGAAAATGAAAAGAAAAAGGTATTCAAAGGTAGTTTTTATCGCGTGATTGTAATTATTACTTATGAATTTACTGCAACAGTTTATTATAATTATTATAACAACGATCGAAGCAGTAAAATCTCTCTTATACAACGAAGCGAAGTATTTGTACCCGCGTTAAAGAACATTATATGTGTAATATTGTGATGTCAAACACCGTTGCGTAAACAAGACTTCAGTCTGCGAGCATGTCATGAATAAACCTACACATTCAATGAACAAACCCCAGGTCCTTGCAAAAGAAAGTCCGTTATCTACCCAGGATGCTACGAGAGGCCATTGAAATTAAAAAACATCCTAATTTCAATAGGGAACATGGGTTTTCAGTACCACTAGTTTGGGATCCAGTATTTCCTCTGATGAACAATCCCAAACAGACATAAGACTGCAGTACTAATTAATATGGTTTATTTTCTATTATTAATTAATAATAAATTTAAGTTAATAAAAATTCATTCAATAAAATAATTTTGTAAAACGTAATGTAGCGTAAATTGGAACGTTTTTTTTTTGTAAAATTAAAAAGGTTATTAATTAAGGTATTTAATTAATAAGTTTTGTAACTATAGTGAAAAAATAGGGTGTTTTGCATTGATATTAGACATAACCGGTAGATGACTGTACCACCTCAGTCAACCGTGACCATGGGACCTGTAAAGAGCCCGAAACGTCGGTTTGTTTGAAAAAACAAATACATGCGATTTAAATCCGGAAAAATAGTTTCATTTCCTACTAAAAAAAATTTATTCGATCTGGATTCGAACCAGCATCCTGAGGCAATCCGTGTCAGATGATCTACCAATTAAGCGACGGAATGAACCAGCTGACCTTTCAAATTTTTCTATGTTTATATTTGTTGCAAAATGATTCTTGTTCGTTGTGAATTTGAATTCAATTTTGAAAAACTTGAAACATATGGCGCTAAGTTTTTATATAACAAGGCTAACTATAACCAAATTGATAAAGGTAACGAAGTAGAACAATTGACTTTTCATTCCGTCACTTCCACCTGAAAAAAAACACGTAATTAACTTTTACTTCAAGAATATTGCAAGTAGTTAATAAAGATGACCTGTAGTTTTATTTATTTTTACACTAGCTGGTGCCCTGGACTTCGTCATGTAGAATAAGTTCTTCGCGCAATATACGAATTTTCATAGTTTTATTGTTTCTCCATACATAATTTCATTCCCTATTTCACCCTCTATGGGATTTATTTTTGTGACAAAAAACAGCCTATGTCCTACTCCTAGGTCCCATCTATCTCTATACCAAGTCATCAGTAGCGGTTTAGGCGTGAAAATGTAACAGACAGAGTTACTTTCCCATTTATAGTATTCGTTTTGACACAGATTACTTAATAGTTACTACGTAACAGATAAATCGCTCTGATACAAAATCGAAAATACCTCCGCTAAAATGGAACCTAAGCACGCGCTCAGAGAGGTGAAAATAACATTGCCCGCTGTGTGCAGTCGAGCGGAGCCGAATGCTCTTAAATGAAAGACTTATATGAGCGCTTGTGCCGATGTCGGTACATTCAGCGGTAGACACTTATCGCGTAACCTTTAGCGAAAGAGGGAGTCCTGGTTTGGATGTCTACCATAAGCTACTTTCAACAAGACTAAATAAAGTACACAAAAATAAAATAGCAACAAGTAAACGACAACAGCAGACTAGTAATGAATTTGAATATCAAAGTCTGTGTGATACAGAAAAAAAATAATGATTTCCGAAAACTGGAGGTGATTAGATGTTCACGCATTCAATTCTGTTTGTAGGATCTTACCTATTTCTGCCACCAAGTGAAATTACAGGCACATGGGTCTTGTTAACTCATGTCTCAGGGTGGCAGACGCAGTGACAGTGTCCCTCAGACCTTTGTTATTTAAAGCTATTAGTGACACTGCCACTGTCGTGGGCAACCGTGGAGACTTTTGTCCCGTCAATGTGCCATAGAACTACATCAATATTTAATACGAGTACCAGAGCAACGAAATTCACTCCTAAGAAAAATCAAACCAAAATCAATTAAGAAAAGTTCTTTTCTCTAATATTGTTCTTATCGGAACTTTATCACACAGCAATAACAGTGCTAACTATTATGACACCAAGGTGGTCCATTCACCGGTACACTTAGAACACCTTCCATATACGTCACGCTGTTATACGCGACATTCAAATATTTCCAAAGAACATAGAACGCGAACGCGTGAAGGCTTAACCGCCTCCTGTTTGCGGAATCCTTAAGTTATCGATTATCCAAATCCGACAGGCCAGTCTTTAAAAACGCATTATGAAACAAAAGACAACAACGTACTTTTCAAAGCTTTAGACACTTTCGTTATATTAATTTTATGTCCTGATACAAGTGTATATACATCTTCACTGAAAATGAATAACTTCATAGCGCAATAGATTGCTTTATTTGTATCATTCATTGTAAAAGTTTTTTTTAAGGGTAGAGCAATTGCGTTGACTTCGGAGTTTAATTGGATATCTGAAATATGAATAAACAAATTAGAATCGTGATTAACAAAAACATTTCATACTTGTTATTTTTTAATTTTATCTTTTTTTTATTAAAGATGATTTCAAAAAACGGCCAGTATGAAACGACAAATGTCAGAAACATAGCAGGCGGAGGTTCTGCTCACTTCAGTGGGAGACAGGCATTATAGCATGTTTCGAAGAACTTCCAACTCCCAAGACCATGATGTTTCTTCATCGTATAGTGGTTTTTTCATAGGATATCCTTAAGGTCTGGTTTTATACTACATATAAGTACATCGTAAGTAAGTTAACTGTGCAATTGTTGGTACAGTACAGTTTTCTGGAGCTTGGCCAAACGTAGCAGCTTGGAATACCATAATATCGATAAGGTCGGATACATTCCGGTAACAGTGCCCAGGACTTTTAAATTTAGTTCCACTCTTACTGTTCGTCCTTCAGTCGACTAGAAAGTTTAGAACACTCTACTTTTATACAACTGATATATTTGGCAAAGGAATAAAGTACAATTTAGGGCTATTGAAGGCTAGGTGAATAGGCATTTTCAGACAAACGCGTACCATAATCGGTCACATCGTTAATATCAGGTGAGACGGTGCCATGTTTTATATCAAAAGAAGAGTTATTGGTAGTTCGTAATGCAACTGTATTTATGACAGTTATACTTTTGTTACTTAATTCGTAAAGCACCTTGATTATAGTTTTGAATGTAGAGAGAATTTTAAGCCTTCCAAAAGGCAAGATCAAATATCTAAAAAAAACTCCCCTAAACTAGTATCAAAAGAGGAAAAAAAGAACCTACAAATTATAGTCTTCACGTGCCCTAGTTGGCGACAGGCGTGATGGTAAACTCAAACTCAATATTTATATAGATACCTAAGCAAATTACCCTTTAAATCGTTACACTGCTTAATCTCTACTATTCATTTGTAAGGATCTTTGAAGGAACATTTGTAGACGTTTATCATTATGATATTTATTTAAATATCATAGATTGAGGCAACATGCAAGACCTAAACGGATCATTTATAGACATGAATGTACATGACGTAGTCTATCTAACACCAGGATTGTGGTTTCTTTTAATTTGTGCCTTATATTTAAATGGTATTATAACAACGAAATAGGTACTATAGTGTATACTGTACCTTCAAGATACCAGGATAGTAGGTACATAAGGAATGTGATTCGGAACATTGTTTATTTTTTAATAATATCTATTTTTCATTATAGATGAGAAAGTCCTTAAAAAGGCCAGGTTCAGGCATATATGAAAGGACTGGCGCGAGTAGAGAAAACCGAGGTGATTGTGTCAGGAATACACCAGGCGGGGGTTCTGTTCCCTTTAGTGAAAGACAGGCGTGACCGCATGGTCCGAAGAACTTTTAACTCCTAAAACACGGTCTTTCTCTGTCTTATTGTTTTTTTTCCTAGGAAGTCTTTACAGATGCTTTTTTGAATGCAAAATGCTGACATAAAAAGCTGGAGTTTTATATCATGCGTAAATTACGCATTTAAAATAATACTTTTCTATTCATAAAGTTCAAGTTTTGAGTGTGGAGAGATTGTTAAGCCTTACAAAAAAATCGGATAAAAAACTGTGCCAGAGAAGGAAGCAAAAGTGTCTTTGCAGTCTGCATATGCTCTAATTGGTGATAAACGTATTGTAACCGGTGTTAGAACATATGTACGTCCATACATTCCATCATGTGTGGACGTACAGTGTTCTAACACCGGAAAAGTGTTTTTTTTTGTAATTTTTGTCTCATGTGTTGTTAAATCAATTTAGCACTATATTGCGTACTGTACCTTCAAGATACCAAGACAGTACATAAGGAGAATATTTCGGCAGATTGGATCCTTTAGGTGTACAGGTCACATTTGGCACTACACCTTCCGTAGTTTCCAATCCAGTAACGTTGGGTGTTATTATTAGATCTAGAGGGCCTGAAATAAAGTCATTAAACAATTCTTAAATGATATTTTTGACAACAACATCATCAAAACATTATACGCCCACTGCTTGGTACGGAGGAAGAGCTCCTTCTCTAAGGAGAAGTTGACATATTTCCCTGGGTTGTCGACTTTCTTTATCCATCATTGCGTTTTTTCTCCCTATTAGAGAAAGATTTTGCTGCTCCACATTTCCAAATGTACTGGTATTTGAACCATCGATCAGAACACTCAAACCAAAATCAATTCAGAAAAGTTCGTTTTCCTAACTGGCCCGTCATCCTCATCTAGCGATAATAGTACTAGGTCACCAAGGTGATCCATTCACCGGTGCAGTTGGAACACGTCCTGTATGCGTCACACTGATAAACGTAATGTTCAAATGTTTCCAAAGAACATAGGACGCCAATGCGATACGCGTGAAGATTTAACCGTCTCCTATTTGCGGAATTCTTAAGTTATCGATTCCCCAAATCCGACAGGCCAGTCTTTAAAAACGCATTATGAAACAAAAGA